TGCTGTAGTCCAAAAAAATAAGGCAAATTTCTTTGCTTTGCGCCTCGACCACAGATTGTGTGAGGCATTTGAGAAGAGACCTTCTCTATTAGATGACCCTCGGGAGCCCCTTCAATCAATCCATCAGTCTGTCTGTCTCTGTCGGCCACCTTCCCTGTTACTGACTTGGACCAAAGTTTGTTAAAAGTTGTGTCTTTTTTTTTTTACTACAGCACCCAGAATCCCCCAGCCAGCCTATGCTGGCTGGGGGGTTTTGGGTGCTGTAGTCCAAAAAAAGAGAAGAAGAGGCAAATTTCTCCACTTTGCGCCTCAACCATGGATTGTGTGAGGCGTTTGGGAAGAGACCCTCTTTGCCTAAGCAGGCCCACACCGGCGTCCCCTTGTCTTCACCGTTCCTTATCCCCTCCGTTTTCAGGTACGAATTTGGAGCGGCCATCTTCATTGGCTGGGCCGGGGCGGCCTTGGTGCTCCTCGGCGGGGGCCTCCTGTCCTGTTCATGTCCGGGAAAGGACGGCTTAAGCAGCAACCGCAGGTACCCTCAAGGGAAACCCATCTCTAAGCCCCCGAGTTCCAAGGAATACGTCTAAGAGTCTCGCGCGAAGGCCAGTTCCGATGCCCGACCTCCATGCCCCTGCGGTCAGGATACCAACGAACCGCCGTTCGTCCACCTGAGCGTGTCCTGGACACTGAGATACACCCTCACCCACCCAGGTGTTTTTTTCATAGTCCACACTGACTTTACCTTTTGCATTCCCTTGTATTTTTTAAAAACTCCCTTGTAATTATTTTGCTTTATAATTTTTTGGTAATTGATAGGAGCTGAGCTTTGAAATGTTCTTACTTGGGGTTTTTTGGGGTGTGTGTGTGTGTAGTGGTCTAGACTTGGGAGTTGTGGGCCAAGAAAATAACATTTCCAGCCCCTGGAGAGGATGTGCATTAATGGGGAAAATCTGAAAAAAAAAATGAACATACGCTGTTAACGTTGAAGGTACCAACACTTCCTGGTCTGCAATAAAGTGGGCAGTCGTGACCGCAATGGAAATCTTAATTTTCTGTACCATGTCAAAGGAGAAAGGGGATTAAACGCTGTTTTATGTGTGCTTCTCCTGAAGGAATTTACATCCTAGACCCACGAGGAGAGGAATACGAGCTCAGATTTATTGAAGGGCAAAAACAAACAAACAAACAAAAAAACCAGAACTAAAACAGAAGAACCAGCTCCCTAGAAATAATGTTGCTTCGTGGAAACCTATTTCTGAGCAAAGAACGCTGCTTAGAAAAGTTACTTGGATGGCTTACCACCCTCCGAACCTCGCAGCTAGCTAGCATGGTTGCTGGGTGTGTTTTTTTAAAATTTGTAGTAACTTTTCTAAGCTCTGTTTAAGAAATAATAATGGAGAACTTGCTGATTCTCGAGCCTTTCTGAGGGTCCCTTAAGATCAGCTCACCGAATTCATAGTTATTAAATCCCATCTCCTTGAATGTTTACAACTTTATTCATCATTGTGGATTTACTGAGGAGGAAGGATAAATCCTTAAAGGCCTGCTGGACAATCTGAAAGAGGATCATTTATTTCTTCTTTGGGACATGAATGTAGGGGGAGTGTGTGAACAGAAACAACAAAGTTATTTTGGATTAAATGATGGATGACATTTTGGAGTGGCAGAAGAGACTGCCTTAAAGTCTGTGGAGAGGAACATATAACTGAAATGCTGTGACGTACAGCAGATGATCAGCACCCTTAACCTATTATTAAATTCTCCCATTAAAAACCCATCCTTTTGCCCTGTTTTGACATCTTTTCTATAATGAGCTGTATTTTGTTGGCTTAAGATAGGAACTTTTTTTCTTTCTTGCTTGGGGAAGGGGAGATGTTTTTTAAATGAATTGGCAAATTTGACCAGGAATGTTGCCGTTTCTACAGTACAAAAAAAAATATTGCCTTATTTAAAACACTAGAACTCGTGTGGGTTGTTTATGCACAAGCCTGTGTTTTTTATATTACAAATGGTGTCTTGTGTATTGCTGGAATTGACTTTTTTTTGTATATATAATAAATAATTGTTTTGGACAAACACTGCCTTCCTTTGAGTCCTGTTTGTGTCAAAAGTGGAGAGGAGAGCGCAGTGTTTTTTGCATCTGGCTGTGGAGCCAGACGTTGGGGGTTCGATTCCTCACTGGGCCGCCTTGACGGGTTGGACTGGATGATCCCATGGGGTCCCTTCCAGCTCTGCAGTCCTAAAATAAGGAATGGGACCTTTTTCACTGGGGAAAGTTACTTTTTTTAAAAATAAGGGGGGGCTAAAGCGGTTAGAATCTTCCACCTAGTATTGTCAGTCAACCATGAAATTCACTGGCTGATGTTGAGCGAGTCGCTCTCCTGTTCTCTGAGCCTGGCCTACCTCGTAGGGTTGGTGTGGACATGGAAGTGAGGAAGAACAGTTTCTAAGCCTCCCAGGGCAGCCCGGTGTGGTAGAGTCAAGCCCAGAAGAAACCAGGTTTGGCCGACCCCATGCCTTGCAAAAGGGTGATTGTTTTACGTGCTGTCAAAAAAAATGACTGTCTTACGATCTTCAGAAGGTCCTGATATTTTAAGTTTTCTGATGTGAACGCTGAGAAGTCAAGAAAGTGGACAAGAAAGAAGGTTTCTAAGCCTCCCAGGGCAGCCCGGTGTTGGTAGAGTCAAGCCCAGAAGAAACCAGATTTGGCCGACCCCATGCCTTGCAAAGGGGTGATTGTTTTACATGTTGTCAAAAAAAAAAAATGACTGTCTTACGATCAGAAGGTCCTGATATTTTAAGTTTTCCGATGTGAAAGCTGAGAAGTCAAGAAAGCGGACAAGAAAGAAAGGGATTCATCTGGAACCGGGTGCGGATGAAGAACTTTACAATAATAGACTTGCAGTACTAGAAGGGACCCTGTGGGATCCTCCGGTCCAGCCCCCATCAAGGAGGCACCGTGGGTGATTCGAACTCCGAACCTCTGGCTCCCTAAACCACCGAGCTGTCGGATATCTCATAGGGCGCCAGAGGGACAAATCAGTGGGATGGCACATAAAACCACTCAGAAAGTATCTTGCACTGGTTGAAAACCCTTTTATGAGAGCTGGAAGGGTACGGCAGATCAAGTGGACGAAAGGTCAGGAGAGGTCTGGGTTCAAATCCCTACCTGGCCACAGAAAACTCCCAGGAACTGCTGGATAGCTCAGTGAGTTAGGCTGGGAGTTCGATTCTCCCACGGTGCCTCCTTGGCAGGGGCGGCCCCGATGATCCAGAGGGTCTTTTCCAGCTCTGCAGTTTCAAGCTTATTATTGTTGTTGTTAATATTCAAAAACACTAAGCACAGTCAATCAAGATTATAAAAACATTGACTGGCATTATATAACAAATATAGGTTTTAACCAAAAAACCTAAGCATCTGTTAAATATCCTCGCAGTATGTACGCTGTTCCTAATACTGTATTGCCAGCTTTCGGTAGCTCTGAGGGCATAGCTTTCTGAGACCTGCAGCCGCTTATCATACTGCGTGAAATGTCTTCGTATTGTTCCCAAAGCCCCAATGACGTCGGGGACCGCGCAGAGGCGCGTCTCGTCCAGAGGCCAGAGGTTTCGATGGCCGGGTCTCTGCAGTTGGTTAGTTTCCCCAATTCTTTATTTTCAACTCCTCCTTTAAAAGCAAAAAAACCTGGAAAAACTAACAAAATGCAAAGATCTGGCCACTGGAAACATCTCGTTTGTAGATGATGATGATGATGATGATGATGATGATGAGCAAGTTACCATAGTCTCTGGGAGACTGATGGATGC